TCTGTGATTCTGTGATTCTGTGATTCAGGAGAGTTATTTAGGCAAGTCATGTGAGCTTTTTGTTAAAAGCCCGTGAGGAAAGCTGAAAGACTGAAATACAAGCCGAGGACTCTGGACCGTACATGGGCCTTGGCCTTGCACCTCAGATGTTTCTGCTGTGATGGACTGAGGAATACATCAGTGTCAAGTTTCATGTTCATTACAATGGACTTAATCTCCCTCCTTCACTGAGTTTAAGGGCAATTATAACAGAGGAAAGGTCTACTGGTGATGGCCCTGCTCAGAAAGAAAGGATTGCAGGCACTAGGATTTCATAGTCCCTGGGAAAAGACATGAATGGGGACTCTGCTTTAGGGTCCTGCCAGATTCTCCTGGGGGAGACAGAGAGTGACAGAGGCTGCTGGAGTAGAGAGACAAGAGGAACATGGGCTTAACAGGATATCTGGAGACAGCTCCCCACCCTGAGGCTGAAATTACCTTGTGAAATGATGAATCGTAAAAGTAAATCCTGCAGCAGCCAGGTAAAATCAGCCTGGTGCTTCGGGAGCTGCTTCACTTTTGTCTTTTACTGCTGGGGTCTGGATTGCAGTCCAGAGAAAAATTCACTAGGAGGTCTTGATGGTGGCCTAGGGAGGCCAAGCAATGGTTGGGGTGCTGACAACTGCTCGCATCAGGCTGATAATTTGAAACAGCCTAAAGCTTACCCTGCTCTAAGGCAAGGCCAGGGGCTAGAAACTTGAGGTGAAGCTGGGGGTCCTCAAAAGACTTGGGAAACAGATGAATAACAGTCAACACGACACCTGGAACTCAGGAATACATATACACCTCTCTGACTGTGGGCACCACAGAGCACGCCAATCCAGACTGCCCTGCCCTGTCTTCTAACCCATCACACTGAGTCAGCAACAGTGCAGGAAAACGACTCCTACAGTCAGAGAAGCTGCAGTGCTGGGAGATATTCCTAAAAAACTTGGGTAGAAAAATGCCCCTCCTTCAGGCCCCAGAAAGAGAAGTATGAATGAAGAATGATGTGAACGAACAAAAACCAGAATCCTGGCAGTGTTAGGTCTTTGAGGGATTGCCAAATCAACATGGAGTTCAGTGCCTCTTCTTTAAGAGGCTTTTGGTATGTAACTGCTAATTTGAATATCTGTGTAAGTTTTAGTTTTGTGCACTTCCAGGAAATACTATGTTAGACAAAAGCTAGCTCTTACTAATCTCTTTTCAAGCCTGGAAATTCATAATTTTCTAACTCTTAGTGCTCATTATGAACTTACTCGAGCTTTTGAAACTCTTCTACAAGGCTGGACTTCTGACCAGGAGACATTCTAGCAAAAACTGTTCCACTCAGCAGGAGCTTTAAGAAGAAAAAATGAAATTATTTTTTTGATCACTTGAGGTTAGAGTCACAGTGATAATCTGGAGCAGAAACCACCAAAAATTCACCAAAAACAACTATGCTAGACTCCAAAGCAGGAAAGGCTGATGATCAAAGAAAAAAGGTGTCTTAACTAATATTTTGAAAAAATAACAATCACAGTAAGGACAAGGGGCCTTTTTCATTTGAGTTACGTCATGAACACAGATTACGAGGCAGGGATTTACTAGAAGAGAATTCATGAGACTATCCTTTTCAGTGCTGGGTAATATCATGTTTTCTTGACAGAATCAGTGCTGTCCAAGTGTCAGGCATATGGGCACAAATGTTTTAAGTTGTGTCCTCACACCATGAGGCAGGTCTGCTCTTTTGATGTGCAGAAAAAAAATCAGGGATTTTCAGATCCTTCATATGTTTGTATCAGAGATTCATCCAGCCAGTAAGTATTTCAGCACTAGAATTGTTCCCAAAAACTGTTCTGGTACAGATCTCTTGAGCTAATTATATCAGGACAATATGAATCTACTGAATGGCAAGCCTACTCCAGTTAAATAATCCAGACCTTACCTTTGGAAGTAAGTGCCTGAAATGCTGCGCTACAATTTGGTAAGATTCTCCAGTCATGGCAAAATGATACTGGCCTGAACCTAATGCCAGCCTGATTCTTCGTTCACCCTCCTATAAGACAAGACAGAATGAGTGCTGCTCCCAGGCCCTCAAAAACTACTACATGCATTTACACAAGCACTACTATAGACAAAGAAGAAAACACCATGGGGAGGGCACTTGTGAAGACTCTGGGAGATCTGCCTTCAAGACTCATTGCCTTTGCCTGGATTTGTAAAGAGATTTAGGCATATAATGCCATTAATTTCAGTGCGCGCCGGGTCCTTCATATGTCTTAAAAGCTGGCACTCAGCATTGACAAATTTCATTAAATTTATGCGATGGTGCAAATCTGGTGGGCTGCTCTGTTTGTGAGAGGGGCTAGAGGAGGTCTCCGGACGCCATAGCTGGGCATGCCTTTGTGCAGTGATACACAAGGAAGATGCTGCTCTGGCTGAGCTGTGGTAGAAAGGAGCCCCTGAAGAGCCCCTGCAGAGATTGCCTGCCATCTGCCTGACTAGTACTTCTTAGAGACGGGTCAGCACCTTCAGACGTACTCTTCAGGGAGACAGTAACTGGCTTTTTTCTCAGTTTTGTTGTGGGGATGCCACAATTTGTTAGCATAGCCAGCCTATGTTTCACCTCATATACACAATTTCTCAAGTTAGTTAATAAGTGTTTTAAATCTGCAATTCTGTGGAAGAACTGGCTCTCTACTTGCTTGAACAGGCATGGTTCATTCAGTGCAGTTTCACAGATTTTAAGTCCACATCTACACTACCAAATGTACCTCACAGGCAAAGGAAACGTGCTTTAAACTGGAATCAGCTAAGCCTGAAGGCTAGGGAAAAATCTTTCCTAGGTTTTTGTAAATCTCTTCTCAAACCTAGTTAGGGAGTTAGCAAAAACATGTTCACAAGATAATATGCTATGCATAAAGCTCTAGAGGAGTGCTTTTTAAACACTTTTCCACCACATAACATTCTGACATGCAAACAATAGTGAATGACTGGTCTCTGCTATACTAGCATAATCCCACTGGATTATTTAAAGCATTCCATCTTAGTTTGTTTTCCTGCTGCACAAAACCTGCTTTTTATAAGCTCACCAGGCTTCCATAATCTTCAGCTTTGTTTTCTTCTAGTGGTTTCCAGGTTATAGATGCTGAAAAAGATCCAGGTATTTTGTTTGCTTCCACAAGAATCACTCTGTCTGTTGAAGGAATCATTCCAGCATTTTTGGCAACAGTTATAGCTGTCTGAATGTTGTCACCTAGGAAAATCAAGAGGAGTGTTATCTAAAAAATTCTGCAGTGAGAAATTGTTTATGGAGGAAACATTAGCCTTATCCTGAATTCTGAGTTTTCAGATACATCTGCAAGAATCAGTAAGATTTCAGTGTCTGTGCCTAAGAAAGTTTAAAGATCAAAACTGCAGATTAAGTCTGTCTCAATAATTAAATGTATTTTCATCTAGAAATAAAATATTTTCATTTTATCTGGAGATGAAATATTTTCATCTTTAGCTTTAAGAAATCCAGATAGGGAATATGCTCCTAGATTACATATTACAGACAAAAACCAGTAAGCTATTCACTGTTAAGTAGCTGCTGGTGCCACTGATTCTCATCTTTTGATCTTAGATGGCTTTGATGTCAGATGTTTGCTGGAAAGGGTGAAGCCCAAGAAGACAAAATCTATGTAACTCCTGGAAAAATGTCTTTCAACCAAGGAAAAACTGGGAGCAACTCTATTCAAATTCAAACCAAGAAAAAAATGGGATAAATAGGGACTGCTAGGCATTAGTTACCAGATGTCAGAGTGATTTGTCCATCTCTGCTCATTTATGATAACAGGATCTCATGAGGTCTTTTAAAGAGGGGATCTTGCATGACATGTCTTTCTGCACGTCATCTGATAACTTTACCAGAGAGAACAAATGGATTCACTGAAAGCATCAGAGGAGCAGGAAGGTTCTGATCTGCACTGAAAGTGGGACAGATTAAGAGTTAGGTACCTGACACAGCCTAGTGGCGTTGTCAAGGACATAAGCCTGCATGGTTCAGCTCATGTCATTATTAAAACACAGATGCTTCTTGGACTACAGTTGTCTGAAAGATGCAAATGGCTGTGCCTTTCCACCACTGGTGGTGACAAAGCAGCAGACTTCACTCAGACATCACCAAACTCCCTGTCTCGGCCAGAGACCACATAAATAATCCACCTTTTAGATACCTGTGACCATAACACTCCTGATGTGGGCAGCACTGAGCTCTTCCAGGACAGGTTTTGTCTCACTCTTTAATCGATTCTCCATTATTAGAAGACCCAGGAATGTCAGATCTGATTCCACCTCCTCCCTAACAGTGAAGAACAGACAGACAGATTTAATTCCTCTTTTTGCCTTTGGCTTGTTTTTGCACTGAATTTGCTGATAGCCAGTTACAGCTGTTAAACTTCTCACCTAAATCAAAAGAATTAAAATAACTTGTTAGTTTCCCACAGTCCCAGGCTGTCTGTCTTTTGTGGTGCTATTTCGACACCAGCAGGGCTTGCTTCCCACTGGCAGCAAGGGCTGCTGATTAAGTATGGATGATCTTCACTTGAGTTTTCATCCTTCTGTTCTTTTCTTCCCTTGTGCTGAAGAACAAGTTCAGTACATAGCCAGCTTCCAGCTCATTTGCTTAATTACCATATCAGCCATATCAAAAAAGCACCAATTTCCGCCTACCTGCTCCACATACCAAAATGAAGCCTGATGGATAAATTAGACTGTTCTCCATTCATGCACCATCCTTAGCCAGCATGAAAAAGGACCTCAGCTTCCCTGCAGGATTCATAAACTGTGGTGGTCTAATATGGAAAGTTCATGCACACTAGTCCTTCTCATCTGAGGACTGTACAACAAAGAAACACACCTTAGTAAATATATCTGCTACTCTTGACTGTAGGACCTGAGCAAACAGCACGTAGGAATTCCCATTCAGTTCTCTCCTTTCCTTTGCACTCATGCTGTTGCTTCTTTCACAGTCGCACACATGCAGTTGAGAACAGAATTTGGTAAAAAATCCCATCCCCAAGTCATAAACCAGAGGTTTCTCAGGGAGACAGGTTGACTCCAAAGAGTCTGACAAAAATAAAAGCTTTCAAACATTTTAGCCACTGTAGTAAAGAGGAGGTGATGCCAAACACTTGCACACCAATCAGAGTAGCTGAGTCAGGTGGTGCCTGAATAGTCACCACTTTCACAGTGGATCTTGTGTTTGACTTCCAATTTTGTTTTTTCTCTTGGCAATGTACACATCGTGCATGCTATAACTGCACACCCAGCTGCAAAATCTGGGCCATATCATACACATTTGCTCATTGGGCTGGATAGGTCTGTTATGACACCTGTCACAAGAACTGAACAAAACACTTGCACTTTGCCTCAGTGGCATTGGCCCTTTCAGCAAAGCAAAAAGCCCTGTAAAAGAGCAAGTGAGCCCTAGCTAGACTAGGACCTGCTGCTGGTAAACAGAAAGGACAGCAGACACCACGTAACCCAAAATGTTTCAGAAGTGATTTTTGGAGTACTACAGGCAAAACCTAGAGAGATTTGGGTAAATGCATATGGATTCATGTGTAGGTGTTCTTGTATGAGGCTTGTGGAAAACTAATACCGTGAACATAGCAGAAGGGTTTGCTGGCTTCTCTAGAAACTGAAGAGAGATACAGCTAGAAAGGATTGGACCAAGACAGCAGCAGATGATAGTCTGCTGACTTTGACTGAGCTAGAGAACAGGCAATGTAATGGTGGTCATCTGCTGCCTTTGCTTATTCAAGGAGCCAGGATAATAAACAAAAAAAATAGAGACTTCTCAGCTGAAAGCCTGGAAAATCTACAAGGAGATTGGTAGAAGTGATGAACTGAGGGAAGAGTGTACTAGACTTCTATTACAGTTATACTTCCTATGTTGATCCAAAGTCAAGAAATGGGTAAGGATTCTCAGCATGTACCATAAGCACGGGGTAGTGAAGTGCCCTCCACTCATTCTCAGACAGATCTATATCCAGATTTAATTCAGATTCCCTCTGGCCTGAGCCTAACAACACTCTGTACTACAGCCCTGCTCTTGGCAGGGATGTTCTGGTAATGCTCCTGTGTGAGGCACCACCAGCCAATGGCTGAAAAGGCTGATAAGAACCAGTCTATGGCTTACCTTGTTAGATCAGCAGATTGCTTCCCTGGCTGTAGAGACTTACATGCCAGTCCGATGACCCTAAAGCCCTGCGCTGTGTAGAGCAGAAGCTTGCTTTCAAAGTTCAGTGGGACTGTGCAAAAGAGGAAAAGACACTTCATCAGTGCATTTGACTGCTTTCTAATAAAAGGAAGCCTTAGAGTAGGGAAGGTTCCTGTCCCAGAGGGCATGTACACCTAGAGTCAACCAACAGGCCAAAGACATGAAGGAAAGCTGCTGAACTGAACTTTGCTCAACAAGAAAATCATTGTGTCTCCTCTGTCACTTTGCACGGAGGATCCTAAACTATTCTGTGAAGACCTACCTTCTTCCAGTGTCAAGAAGGAGCTGTGCTCTTCTAGCTGCCCTCCCAATGCTTGGAGAAAAAAGAAAACTCTTTGGGTGTATACTGGACGAGTTGGTCAACTTTTCCAAATATATATTCTGGCAGAGACTGTATACCTTGTACAAGAGTTCCTACTTGCTTTTATCTCTTAGCAGTCCTTCTTTGTTGAGAAGGGCTGTGTAGGATCTTAGCCTTAGACTTGGAGCACAATAGAAACACTGTGACTTTCCGGTCTGATGTACATAAGTCTTGGACCCAGAAATCTCATCTGGACCTTCCACTTCATTGCACCATCAAAAGTCACTTATACCTATGTGTTTCTAGGAAGCACTGATAAAAGCTAGTTACCTGTTTCTCTTCTACATAACATGGCTACAATTTCCGGAGCTCCTTTTGTGAAGACCTGTTGCTCCCCACCAATTTCCTGAGCAATGACAGACATTCTTTGCAAGGCTGAAGAAAATGGAAACTGGTGTAAAATGGTAACTCCTTCCACTGGGGCCTAGGAGAAAAACAAGTGGATTAGATACTGCAGCAAGGATTTTGAACCCAGGCCAAAGCATTTTAGGTCTCTCCTTTGGGCCATGATAAGAAATTAACCTTGTATAATGGGCTGATTTCTCACAGTGGGACAGAATGGACTGGTATATAAAGAGATTAAATTTGTACAGAAGCATTTATCTTAAACAGCAGGAAAAGTTCACTGACAGTTTTAGCAGACTATTAGATGTAATTTACTGAAAGGAACTCACTAGTCCTGTTTCTTCAACAAGACTCTGCTAGGTCTTACACTGGTCTTGCAAAGAGAAAATGGATGGCTGAAAGTGCCCCCCTTGGTGTATGTTGCCAGTAATGGTCTGACATCAGCTACCAGACTCCACTGCAGTCTCAAGTGCTTTTAGAGATCTTCACCACTCCGCTGAGTTTGGATTGAATCTCCAGCCACCTGGACAGGCAAATTCCTGAGCTGGACAATCTGTCATCCAGCATCTCCCTGCTTCTGGTGTGAGCAGCAAGTTCCCCCAGGCATCTCTTTTTAGTCAGAGAGAGCAAGGCAATCTCTCTGCAAGCATAACAAAAAAGACAAAGTGTGGAAGAGCTGTCTTGGACAAGGACAACCAAGCATTTCTCTGCTGACTCTTATACTAACAGTTTAACTCGGTCATGAATGTGAAACTTGCGAATAGCTTACGCTTCTGGCTTTAGGCCCAGGTTTAATGACTGTTGCATGTGTGGATCTTTGACCTTCAGTCTGGTGTCCACTGGAACCATCTATCACCTGTGTATTGAAAGAAAAAACTCTTTCAGATAACAGCACCAGTAAAGCTGAAAGGAACTTCAAGGAATCATTTAGAGCTTTTCCTTCCCTCAAAATAAGAAACCTTATTCATTCCTGAGGGGAGTCAGTCTGATCTCACATGAAAATGCTCCAGCAATGGAAAATGTACTGTTTCCCTTGGGAATCAAATCCAGAGCTTCACCAGCCTCATTAAGATACTGCTCTACTCCTGCACAGCAAATAGATTATCTTCTCTCACTGACAATAAATCCTTTATTCATTGCAACCCAGTTAAATATGCAAAAATCTTTAGATATAACATAGAGCCAATGGGAAAATAATAAATAAGAGTTTGTATTAATGTAGAAAGCACCATCATCAGCTCTTGAAGTATTCCACAAATCAGTTGTATTTTTTAATCGTCACAACATAACTGTGAGGAACAAAAATATTTTATAGTGTCAAAGTGCACATTATTACTCCTGTTTCACAGGAATTATTTAGCAGGATTATTCCTGTTTCATTTATAATTTTGATATGTGTCTGCCTAAGGATAAGATGGAAAGGTGATCCCCCTGGGGAAAAATATCCTCTAACTCCTGTCATCACTGGATAGTTTACTCCTTGAACCTTGGCTGTTTTACATATTTGTCAGATACAAAACAGACAGGTTGTCACCCACATAACTAGCTAATCCTCCCCAGGATCTCTTATCTGGCATCAGCAGTGTCTTGTGGCTATACCTTCCACCAGGTAATTATGGGCTGCCTTCCTCTTACCCATCTCAGATTTGCAGCCTCTTAGTATTCATAAATGTTCATTCCTTCCCAACTGATCAGACAGTAAATACCAACATTGATGGCTGTTTGTAAGTAAGGAGACAGAGACTGGAAGCCAAGTGCTTTCACAGAGGCGTGGGATTTCAAACCTGAAGATGGCAGGAATATCTCCACACTGACAGAACTCTAACAAATGTCAAAGTCTTGTATCTAGTTCAAAACTGGCAGAAGTCTTTCACATGCTCGGCAAAAGTAGCCTTAATCTGCGTATAAGTCACATCTGGGATTTTCTGTTATCTCGCAGCAGCTGCAGTCAGAGTTGACATGCCAGTGGGGTTTGCACAACATCCACCACTTCAGTCAAATGAGCTAAATTCTCAAAGTACCCTTAGGCAAAAGCTCTAGGGAGGAAAAAAGGAACATTCCTCCGAAAGCCTGAGCAAGTGGTATCTCTTATGGGTTTTACCTGTTCTGCTTCTGTGGGGGAAGTGGCTATTTGCACAGACAGCTTGGGACATTTCTCCTTTGTGAGAACACCAAAATTCCCCACCGCTATTTGCATAACAACAAAGCATGGCTTTACCCAGTTTGTGGCCTCAAACATTTTCACATCCAGTGGGTCTCCTTGGATCTTGCCCTCCCAAACGATTAGTGAATGACACACCACCATTGCTCTGAACACCGGGCCCCAAGGCAGGCTGTCGTCTGTGGGGAAGCTGTGAACGTCCTGGAAGCTAACACAAAAGAGAAAATAAAAATTACTATCAGTGAACACCAAACAACAGAAAAAAAAATCCTAACTCAGAAGGCTGTTAAAGTTCTATCCAGCGGTCAGCCTCCAAGCACGTTTCTGGGCACTTGGACTCCCCCATTAGCTCTTTGTCTTGTACCTGTTAAAGGCTGGGATACATATCCTAAAGTAGGTGTATTCTGCATACTCAAGGAGTCTATTCGGATGGGCAGTGCAACAGATTATTATAAAATATCTTCCTTGAGGTTTGTGCAGGGAGTCTTCAGCTGTGAGGCTAATGTGAGTTTGAGCACCTTTGTGCATGCACATTTGTGGAAACATAAACAGGCAAGAACATGGGCACTGAAGGAACTGAGCGTCAGTCTCAAGGGTAGCAGTGACCTCCTGTCATAAAGGGTTGGGGCACTGCTGCAGCTTTGAGATCTCCTGCAGACTACCCTGCCCAGGCATGCTGTGCCGAATGCTGACAACAGTGGCTGCGTGTTTTCATGTGGAGCACGACCCTTGGGATGAGGCAAATGACTCATTTTCCAGAGGCTATAGAAATAATACTGGAAATCTAAACAGGGGGAACTTCAAACTGCTCTTTGACTCTAATTGTCGTTCAGATTTGTTGATATGTTTAGGAGAACCCATTCACTATCCCATCAAATTTAAATGCCATTGGTATGTCAAGGAGCCTTACCAGTTTTTTTCAGAGGGCAGCAAGCCCCAAAGATCCAGGCCATCTTCTGTTAAGGTGCCAGTCTAAGTTAAAATGTACATTTAAATTAACTTCCCACATGAGTGCTCCAGGATGAATACAAATACTTATTTTTAAGAAGTTACTGTCCAGAAAATGCCAGCACAGTGCAGAGCAAAAGTGCTGCTGGCCAATTCCTAGATTGCAAGAAAAACAACAATTCACAACCGTGTCTGTTCAGACAACAAACACCTAAGTATGCAAGACTGGTCAGAGGGTTTCTAAAATACAATAGAAATGTTTGATCAAAACACATATTCTCCCACCCCGAGTTTGACTCCCATTACTAGTAGGAGAGTAACCATCACATGGCAGTTACTTTGTCAAAGCAGATGAGGTTGAGCTGTCCACACATGTTGATCCTCTGTGGGCTGATGCAGAAGATGCCCTTTTTCTTCAGCCTCCGCTGGGTATAAATGATCCCTGTTGTCAAGGCAGCAGGCAGAGCTGGAGGGACAGCAATAGTGATAACATCCAAAGCCTTTTTCGCCACTTCTCCTGCCTCCTCCTGACATAAAACCAAAGGCAGTTATCAGCAAGAGGGTGGCAAGGAGTCTTGCTGGGATTGCGTGTAGCCCTGTTCATCCCTTCTCCTCTCCATGGCAGGTGCTTCAGGCTGCTGTGCTGTTTTCTGCCCATGGTCCACCACATATTCATCTCCATAAGAAATTAATTGCTTTGATTTAACCAGAGGCTTTAAGGTTACAGCACTAGTAAAAAACAGCCTTCAGGCCTTCCTTCATTCTCCATGCCAAGAAACCTGCCAGGTGGAGCTCACAGTCTCCTCCAAAGCACAAGTTCAAACATGCCAGCTAGATTATTGCACCCTCAGTCAATCCCAGTTTCCCATGATACAGTACACAAGAATCTGCCATTTAAATGGGCATTCATCCAGCTGCCTACAGGCATAGCTCAGGGCTCCATGTCAGGGTGACAGGTGAAACATACGGGATGGTGCTGAAAAGGAGGGCAGAATGCACAACCTAACGATTTCTTCTGACCTTATGTTCTAGGAGTTGTGAAAGGAAATGGCTTTTACCTGCAGGAAGTGACATGGAAGTAAAAGGTAGATTTCTAAAAGCAATCTCTAATTTGGGAGCTTAGAGGTCGGTGTGTAACCAACTGCCAGTATGCTGAATGTCAGCATATTATTCCTGGCAGTAGCTATCACTGCTAAAGGACTGAATACATTTCAAATTCGAGTCTCAGAATTGGGACATTGCAAACTAAAGCAAATTTGCAGTTCAGAAGGATTTGCAAACCATCATTGAGTTCTATTATTATTGCTTCTGAGCTTGAGATTTTGACCATAAATCTTGTTGCATTTGATGTGGCAAATTTCCATCACATTCTCACTCTCCTTTCCTTGTTATTGTTTCAGACCACGGAAGACACCAAGTTGATAATATTTTATATCTTTTTTACATTAGAATGAAGCACTTGCCAACTTTAGATAAACACACTCACAGAAGAGAGAGCATGTCATATATCATGTGACTGAATCTTATACCAGTCTGACGAGACAGCTTCAGTCCCCCTGATAACATCAGAGTGTATTTTACATATTACAAGGGGGAAGTTAAACACAACAAAGGAAAAACTGCAAAGGAGACACCAGGATATGTTCTTAAATACACTTTCTTTCATATTCCAAGTGGAATTAATCTTCTGAGACAACTGATTGTAGATTATTCCAAAGAAGAAAAATTATTAAAAAGCTGAATTACAGAATCAACTTTGCACCTCAGGACTTGGACTTTATGCTGACAGATAATTATCAAGGCATGAAATTTCTTGAAAGTTTTTTAAAAAGTTCTAAAGCAATTAGGCTTTAAAAATTCCAGAACTACTCTTTACAGTATAAAACTATTTCTTACATTGATCTTGATGCAAGCGAGTGAGTGAACTGTTTTTAAAAGGGTTTCAGGTGAACCCTCCAGGGGTTTAGGGATGAATATGGCAGGGCGCTAAGTGTACTAATAGGCCTTAATTACTCTCACTAGCCTCTTCTCTACCCACACCCTCTGCTCATGGGTTCATAAGGTCCATTTAAGCTCAGGCCTGCGCTTTCATTTCCTGTCTGAGCCATGTTGTAGGTGTACCTGCCTCTTGCACTGTCTCCTGGATGAACATCTTTCAACAGCTTTGTCTCTTGTCCTTATCTCCTTCTGCTTCTGACTGGTCTGCCTGGATTACTTACTACTTTGCCTTGTTAATGGGTTGTTACCAGCACCCAGCTCCCTCCACTGTGTTCAAATAATGTGTCACTGTGCCCTGGTTTGTGGGGGCGCTACTGCTCCGGTCACACTCAGCTCCCAGTTTACCTTCCTTTAGCGCATAGCTGAACCTTGCTGTTTCCTGAAACACTAAGTCAAAGTCCTACTTTGAGAAACTTGATTAAAATTATAATACAAAATTAACTGACCCTTGATGTATATGGCACATTAGAGAAGAGCTAACACAGTCTTCCCAGATAGCATTAATACCCCCTAACCTCCTGGAGAATTCTGGAAAAAATCAGTGCAGGTGTGGGTGACTCAACTGCTACAGGACAGTTGGCTTTGCAAAAGTTATCTCCCAAAAGCTCTTAAAGATATTAAGTTGTGTGACAACTAAGTGAAGGTTACCTCCCTTACACGCCCATCACCTGCACCAAATGACTATACAAAGATATGAAAAAAAAGGCAGAAGAAAATGGGGAGTTCTTTCTAACATCAGTACATTTCAGGGATCTCTGTTTCACCTGCTATGTAATATGGAAGAGAGGTGGCTGAAAGGGTGGCCAATGATCTCTAAATCATGAGTAGCAGAGGAAACATCAAATAGAAAGCACCTATCTGCTGCTTTTCTAAAACAAAAAGCCACAGTGTCTTCAGTGAGTTAACAGCTTTAAGAACATTTTTATGTGGTACAAGTCCAAGGCATAAATGAATTTAGAAATATATTAAACCACACTCTGGAAGATTTTCAGTGGCTGTTAGAGCTAAACGTTCTAGATACAAAAGACAGCTTACTGAACTGTTAAACCTTTCTCTTCAAGAAGTTAGAAGACTATACCAGGGAATAATTCTACTTCATAACCAACATCTGATACCAGTTACACTCAGTGACAGTGAACAGGGTTAGAAGGGTCTTTGATCTGAACTGAAGGGTTTGGAAAAATTCCTTTCACGATGACACATCAGTCTGTATCCCATTTAACCCATGAATCACTTGTGATTTTTCTAGGAATGCATTAAAAAATACCACAAAGACTCTGTAAAAGCTACTTGCAGAGTGCTAAACTCTTGGGATCTCCCATTCCAGAGCTCTAGAAAGCATTATGCTAATTACATGTATTGGTAATTAAACGCAGCAGCAAGAACAGGGCAGGCAACACACAGACACAGACAGAAGCAGCCAGCGTACAGAAGGCTCCTGATAAGACACGCTGTGCTTGCACAGAATTTGCTAAGACTTCAGAAGAAATAACTGTTGGGAAACGGGCTTGGGCCCCTTGGAATTGAATGTATGAGAGCTTGTATATTGTCAAAAATTCAATTAGATTGTAAAATGGCCTCATATACTAAGGCAAAAAAGAAGAGTGTCATGGACTGTATTTTTATATGTAAATGTATATGAAGACACTCAAGTTTCATGTCTCCTGAAACTGGGTGTGACCATTTTTCCTGCCTTTAGTAACTCACCCCATTAAGAGCAAACACACACACTGCGTAGATCATTCCGATGGCTGCAAATGCAATGAGGCACATCAGGAACCGAAGGGCGTCTCTGTACAGCTTGAAGTTCATGGGTTTAGGGTAGAGAATGGACCTCACCAGATCCCCTTTGGCTGTATTGAAACCTGGAAAGATAAAACTAAAATCATACCGAAGGGAAACATTTCTGAAAGTTGTCTACAAAGAACGGAAGGCTTTAAAATGATTCATAATTTCTGTAACTAAAGCAAAAAGGCCCAGATCATTCAGTGTACATGACCTACTCTGCAGAATATAAAAAAGTTATTTTTGTCTTAAGGTGGAGGACTTTTTTAAATGCCTCAGAAGCTAAGTGAAATTCTTCTTTATAACCATATGCTAGTTTTTGTAAAAGTTATGCCAAACAAATGGAAACAATGCATAACAGCTTAGCCCTAGCCAGGATATCAATTTTCCATCTGCCTGTTGTGAATTTGGATTAACACCTTTAACTTACTTGGACCCAGCATGTTAAGTCAGCCTGTTCCAGTAAAAAAAAGCATGAAAGGAAAAGCAAACTGAAGTGTTGACTGACCAGTCCGCAGCACCACAGCTTTCACTTCTCCTCTGTCATCTGCCTTGGTCTGTATGACCTCTGTTCCACAGAAGAGGACGTGTTTTTTGTAATCCTCTGCACAATGCATTATCCAAGGCTTGAAGTTATCAGCTTGGGGTAAGCGAGTCTTTGTTACTGGAATACTTTCCCCTAAGGAAGATTGGCTCAGATGAGGAATGTTGCAATACATTTTAAAATCAGCCTGCTGACTTCCAAATAAGTACAGTATCTATACATCTAGATGGTAAGTTAAAGGCTGTTTACTAGAGAAACCAGTTCAAAGAAATGTTACTTTTACATTGTGACATCTTCAGAGTGAGTAAGAGTTTGAAGCCTAGAGCAGACTCTGCCAGAGCAAAGCTCTTCTTTGCATCAGTACAACAGCTTCATGTTAAGTCTGAGAACTGAAAGCAGCTCAAGGACTCTGAACCCTGGCTGTAGATACGCAGACTTGAAAAGAGACCCGAACTGTTGCATGACATGTTGCATGACTCCACTTGATGGCCACAAGTTGTTTACCTAGTCTGAACCTCATGTGAAGGTCACTTCAGTATTGCCCTAGGCAGATTAAACACAACATTTCTTATTTCGCCTTCCTGGTAAAAAGGAGAGGCTTTAGCTCAATGCTTGACAACTGACAAATATCCTATTTATGTCAAAGCAGATACTAAGGTGAGGCAGAAGAAATATTTTCTGACAGTTGAAGCTTTCTAAATGAAAGGGGTTTCTGGAATTCTCATTTACATGCAATTTCAGAACTGTGGGTTTCAGTTCAATTCAGAACAAGATCAAATTTAAAGGTAAGAAACAGAACTATGAACAGCTTCTACACCAAAAATCCTGCTTTGCAGTGAACGCTGCCACCTGGTGCGTCCTTCACTGCTGTCACATGAGCATGGGGTTAAGTGTCTGAAGGGCTAGACAGACACTCCAGCAGGTTGGAGATGTTGCAACAATCAGCAACAAGACGTTCAGAGTGACCAGGCAGAGCCTGAGCAGACTGTGAGCCCTTTTCTCCACATCTACTGCTTTTTTTTCCCTGCTCACTCTTCTTCACTGCCTGCTCTTTCTTTTCTAATTAGATGACCCCTTCCTAAATTCTGCACCTCAGAAAGGAAGAAAAGGATGAACTACCATTTCTAAAGTCTATCTTGTCTAATTAGACAAGCTGGGGCTAATTACAGTTCAGTCCATTTTATATCCCCTTCCAGGTTAGCTATGCACTATCTCAGCGTAAGTGTGATACAAGGTAACCCTGTACGTCCTGTGTCACTGACTGAAGCCAGAGGGCTATGATGATGTTTTCAGGGTAAACCTGGGCGGGATGAGCTGTACCTGTAAGCATGCTTTCATTTACAACGCACTGCCCGCTGATCAGGATGGCATCACAAGGCAAAAGGGTTTTGCCCTCTTTCAAAACCAGCATGTCTCCAGGAACAAGATGGTGTGATTCCAGCTCCTGGAAACCTGTAGGTGACATGTCATGCAGACTTTGTGTTTCATATATTTCTCTGTGGTGATGGGAAAAAATATAAGAAACTACCCACGGAATAGATTGTTGCATCTTTATAGTGGCTGATAAACAGAGGACCACAACTAGGACCTCATAATACAATATTTAGGCATCCATTCACACTGCAGAAGTTTTTCATCTCCCTAGAAGCCCACCAATGGTTATTGCTCCAATGTACTGACCTAACTTAAGAAGCTTGGATCTACACTTTTTATTTTGGCTCTGTCTTTTTGGATTGTGCTCTAAATACCATGGCAATGAACAGACTTTGCATGGAGCAATTATGTGGACTCACAGCCATTTAATGGCTATGTGGTTGGCTTTTTCAGCACTACTTTAAGAAAAATGACATCGTTTTCCTGCTACTTTTTGCCACAGCCGCACTCAAACAGTTATGAATATGAATACACCACAACATACTTCTGAGTAGATTAACCCAGTCTACAGAAGCTAGTTAATTGAACCGAGAGACAAAAGAAGGAACTGCTCTAGAAGAAATTTGATACTATCCATTCTTGGGTTTGATATAAATTACTATAGAAATGAAACACATTGAAGAAAGAAGTGTACAGGAGTCACCTTCCTTATTTCTGCAGACAGTGACCATGATGTTGTTATGAGACTCAACCAGTCTGTGCAGTTTAACCGATTGCTATAAATTAAAGGAGAACACACAAAAGTGTTACATCTTACTTACATGATGCAATTCATCTACCAAGAATTATTCTCTTTTGTTATTTGTGGTTATGAGAGCCCTTATAAACTGGGGTCTGGCTCTGCCAGAATTATACAATCATACAGAGGAAGAAATTCCCCACCCTAATTACGGAATAGGTGTAACAAAAGGTTACAAAGCAAAGCACTGGAATGGGGAAGGGAGGGTTTGTAAAGAACCACACAGAGATTATGATGACTAGGAGACCAGGCTATTGCACCTGCTACTACACAATGTCACAAGACTAAACCTCTGAGTAACTCTCCTATTAGCACTGTACATGTGCATGTTGTAACATCCTGGCCTTTCCTGGTGGAAAAAGGTGCAATGTCTCACCTGTCTGAGATCATACACAGTCAAAGAAATCGAGAGAAGAGACATGATGATGATGGCAGTGGCATACTCCACGTAATCTTCAGCAAACCACAGACACACGCTGAACAGCTGGAACACGTAAAATGGATTTAACACCTGTTTGGAGAGAGAGCAATACTAAAGAGCTGACCACATTTGAATAGCTCCAGTATAACCAGCCAGTCTATCCTGTGAGAAATGGGCTGGGATGAAAGGTATTAAGCATTGTGTCTCCCAACCCCCTTTATAATTTTGTTTAGCAGTGGCTTCAATCTAATCAGATTGGACAATCTCCATCTGACAGAATGACCAAATAATCTGGATCAATAGGATGTTATCTGGAATGTGAATGGCTCAGCCCAAGCTTTGTTCTCCTTGCTTCTTTACAAGAAATGTAACAAAGCTGAGAGAACAGCAAGTTGTGCTGTGAGGATGGAGCTCACATACTTTAGGCACATCTCCCTCTGTTTAGGCCACATACAGCCAGCTGCTATCTGAAGAAGAAATTGGTATTTTACGTGGTGCTGTGCCCAGAATCATGAGCTCATTGGATCTCTGCAGCTGTAGGTATCTATCACATACTGCTGTTCACTGCATCTCTGCTGATTAAGAGACAGCCTTTGCCTGGAAGGTTTGATTTCCAGTGCAGCTTGTAAACATTCCCTGACCATTGTAAGGCCAATAGAATGAGCTCCCAGGACACAGATATACACAAATACCAAGCTGCCACACAGGCATGGGGATAGAGGATAGGGAACAATGGGGAATAAATTAATTTATGGTGATTTCATGGAACGGCTTTGAGCAGGATTTGAAAAAGGAGTGTCCTTGACAAGTGAGTACCGGGAAGCTAATTCAGACATAGAATCCATTATATTCTATTTGCATACTCTGCCTCCTCAAGTAGCCTAGAATAAAGCAACAAAAATATTTAACCTCCTTGATGAGTAGTTTCCAAATAGGGATCACTGGAACATCGATAGTGTTTGGCCCACATATAACTCTCCTGTGTGAGACAAAGATACATCACTTAGAATAGTGACAATGCAGCTCACTCAAGAAGCTGCAGCTTTCCATAGTTCTGAGAGCTTTTATTGATCTCAGTTTAAAGGCTATGAGGATGTTTTTCCAAGAAAAAGATAAAAAATTAAATGCCCCTACAGTGCTTATGGCAGAAAAGATGACTGTACCAGTGAAATCTACTTAAAGAGACAAGAGGTGTAACACATCATTCTAGGCAAATGTTTCCATCACACAAAAATTCCTTTGAAGCACCATAAACAAAGGAATTCTGCACCTAAATCTAAATGATCTAAAACCAAATAATTTTGCATAAGGTTTGGGGTGATTTGAATGTAAGATTCAACATCAGCTAAGGTCAGGAGATGGCTTTTCAGTATTCCATCAACTGAAGATCATTTTTTTATTTAGCAGTTTCAGGAACACCTACTCTGTAAGTTGTCTAATGATACAGGAGTTTGTAAGAACAAATTCAATGTCCACAACTAATTGATTTAGTAATTCAATGCAGTTACATGGAGCCCCACTGCAGAAGCACTCATACAACTTATCTGCACCATCTCATGGAGACTTTCTCTTACTCCAAGTTAGAGCTGCTTAGAGTTAGTTACAGGACACACTGATGAATACTGAGATATTTAAAAAACTTTAACAAGGAATACACAATATTCTTTAGCTCTCTTCATTTAATTTTTCATACATGGCCATTTCATCTAAAATTATGCGCATATTAACAGATACATAAAAAAACTCAAGGAAGGTGCACCAACAGCAGCAAATTTATATCTCTTTGAAATTCACATGTTGAGTACTTGTGTTTGAAAACATGTACCTGACATTCTGTTCATTGCAGGTGAGACCAGAACCAAATTTGTCATGTATAGCTGAGCAAGTGTGGTGGTCTTCTAGGGCTCTAAAATATAAAGCAAGTGTTTTCCTTAGGACGTTATTCACAAAGAAGCCTAACTTCCTCAGAGACTTGTGTAACCAGAGCACTGAACTCACCCAACTTTCTGGAACTGTTTTGCATAGATATTCCAGATGTAGCGAATTTTTTGTACTTGGATACTTTTCACCTGCAAAATAGAATGGACAAGAATATATGCAACACAGCGAACAAAAATACTCCCAGCTCTCAGCTAGGCAGCCTCACTGGGGTCAAGCACAGTTAAAGCAAATTACATGGCGGTCAGGGAAGAAGAAAAGACAAGATTGCGTACCCTAACTCCCTAGTGACGTTACAAAGCAGGATCCCCACCTCAGTGCAGGTTCCAGTAAGCTTTACAGATGTTTAGGTCAAGCAAGTCCAAAGCAGCAGAGAATAATTTCTTTCCCCATTTTGTGACAGAAAGAATACAGTCCTCGTTCTCAGCGCACAGCACAAAGAGATCGCTGAAGCAGTGGTGGGTATGCAGGCCGCTGTCAAAGTCCATCCTTAGTCAACAAGTCCCTTATCTTCTGTCTGCCTTTGATGGAAGCAGGGGCCCTTGGGCCGTTTGCAGGCATGGTGTCAAGTCCTTCAGCTGAACCCATATACCGACAGACAAGCCATCCCAGGATACTCCCTGAGTCATCGCTAACGCTAAGCCCTTGCGGAGCAGTTGTCCATTGGGAACACAGACTGCCATTTTTAACTTGGGTAAGGAGCCTGGCCTGGCCTGCGCAACAATAACGAAGCCTATTAGAGATAAAGGGCTTCATATCAGCTGGAAGAAGGCAAGACTGTGCACCTGTACACATCAGTAATAAAGAAATCAGCCCTAGGGCCTCTCCCTCTGAGGCCAATGAAATCTATACTCAGCTCATACACTGACTCAAAATGGAGCTATAATCACAGTCATTAACCTAATGAGAGATCTGGAGTTCGGATTCCATGCAATAGGAGCTGCAATATTCGCAATGCTAAAAACTGGAGTGGACCCAACTCACTGCCGAACAGGTCTTTGGACAGCTGTTGGGCGCTACACGTTACTCAGTGGACTTAGGTAGCTTAAATGGCAAAAAGGTTTTATAACTGAACTGTAACCAGGGAATTTTGAATTGCCAGTGAAGGATTCAACTGTTTCCTCTTTGCTGCTTTGAAATCTGTTCTGTTCTATCTAGATGTTTTGATTGATATTGAAGTGTTCAAAGGCCCTATTATTTGAGACTATATTGGGCTTATTTAGTTACTAATTCAATCCTCTGAAGAATGTTGCAAACTAGTCTTCAGTTTCATACTGTGCCAGTTGATTAAACTAGCTGCCTCTAAACTTTCTTATGCACATTAATGTATGCCCACACAAAAAAGCAGTGCTAGCAACAGCTTTATGCAGCTAAAGTTAAGTATATAATGGAAGTACCTACTAAAAAATGCTGCAGATATAAAAATAAATGCTAACAAGTTAGAAATCTGTTTCCTGGAAGGGAAAATAGCTCTTTTACAGGTTTTACAGTGCAGTGATCGAGTATCTATAATTGAGCCAGATATTAGCAAATGTACCATTGCATTCCTATAGTTTACACCAATTTAACATGTAATGCTAAGCAGGACATGTAACTGAACTCTCTGGTAATTGTTCTAAAATGGGCATAACTATATTTATTCAACTCATGAGAGACCTTGTGATCTGTTTGGATCAACTAATGGTCTAGCTTCTCAGTGCCTCACTGGGATATCAAAGCTCTGAATGGGCAAAGACCATGATACATTTTTGCAGTAACAGGCAACAGTGTAAGACACGACTCCAGCAAATGTACTTTAAAGCACAAATTGGTGCATAAAAAAAGCAAGAAAGCAAAATATGTTTTGGACCTTCTTGGATGAAATGTTTCTGGAAATACTGATGCAGCTCTGTCTAGGCACTTTTCTCTTCTATTCCCCTTCAGCTGCCTTCAAGAAATTCTTCAGTACGAGGGGGGCAAGACTCTAGAATAGATTGCCCAGAGAGGCTGTGGATGCCTCATCCCTAGAGATTTTCAAGGCCAGGTTGGATGAGGCCTTGAGCAACCTGGTCGAGCTGAGAGGTGTACCTGCCCATGGCAGAGAGGTTGGATTAGAGGATTTCTAAGGTTCCTTCCAACCTAAGCCATTCCATGATTCATCCCTGCTTTCATGTTACTGTGGGAGCTGTGATGTTTAGCTTCTCACAGTTTCTCTCCAGCCCCACAGACACCCCAAAATTTCTTGATTCCTATGCCAGGAATGAATTTTTGATTTGGAACTCTGGTTCTTCACTGCCAACCTCAGTATCTTGAAGCTCTCCGACTTACAATGTAGGCCTTCTCTCAGGAATAGCGAGGGTTCTTTTTCACAACCCACCTCAGAGTAAGAGAGGACTTTTACAGAGATGAGTACAGTTCTCCAAAATCTCTAGCTTGTTTTTCCACAGCTCACTGTGTTCATCAAGCTGCAAGTTTCTTAGCTGGAAATGTTTCACAGCTCACTTTCACTCCATGAAGCGTGGCTGAGACTTGCCACCATCTTGCAGATGCTACCGGGAACACTTCACTTACTTGCAAACTTGGCTTCATTATGGCTTTGCTGAAGATAGAGTCTTCCTCAAGAGTGGCTGGATAATCTGATCTATTTTTGATAAGTGCAGACACAGAGATCCATGTCACAGTCTTACGAGAATAAATCTGAAATTCATCCTAAATGAATATAAAAGAGAAGCGTCACAATTTCTCCCAAATCAGACCAAACTCACTACCACCTTGAAGTGAATGATTACAGTAGCCCTTTCTAAAGCACTGCTCCAGCTTTTAGAAAGAGCCAACCAACAGAAGCCTCCCAGTACCTGTGACCGATAAAATCAGCAGAACAGGAGCAGAACAATGGTTCTGTCAAAATGTGAGTACTGCGAATAATTCACTGGTGCTTGGCTGATAAGGATGGAATGTGAACACTGAGGTCATGATGTAGGACAGGCAAACAATCGAGGACAATCCGAGATGCAGTGACTCTACTGTGAAGGGAAAATCAAAAGGAACATAGCACTGTACTGCAAAATGGGTGCTTAGAGCCAAAACCTTTTCACAGTCATTTTTCTGTTGACACGTCAGGGGAACAGGTGTGTTAGCACCAGGCATCCCCTGTGGTACCTTACGCAAGCTTTTGCCACAAACTGAGTTCATCATCTTGCTATTTTTTATAAAGTAATTTCAATATTGGAACTGCCTGATAACTAAAGTTGGTAGTACAGTCTTAGAGATTACTACAGTAAAAAGTACCTTCATGTTAGGTGTCAGTCCTGAACACCGAGCCATACGCATTATAGCCAACTATGAGACTGATATATACCATATTCAGTGTGCGAGCAGTGTGGCATACAGAAAAAGCTGTTTATCTCAGCCAGCCAGGTTCTGAAATCATAATCATTAAACTCCATTTGGAAACGATAACAGAAAAAAAAGATTCTGAACCAAGTATGACTCCTTCTGAATAATTTAAGGGTTCAAGAAAGACCTATAATAACATTTACATATCTTGTTTATTTGTGCACTTTTCTTCTTAACTGGTATTTTGAATAGAATAACATTTATTTTCTGATATTTGATTTAAATTTCAGAATTTGTAGACATTGGGATGCAGATTGAAATGGGAAGCAGTAAATAACACAGGTGACCATTATTTGAACTGAAGTGAGTCAAAATTCAATCCAAAAAGTGAGTTAATACACTCTTATACTGCAGTTGCAGAAATAATGATGAATTATGAATGAAGGTTTTATGTGAAGCAAAAAAGAATTCCAGGGATCAAGCGGATGGGGTTACTTGTAGCCTCATTAGCAGTAGCCATCACATTTGAGAACTGACATAATCAGAATGCAGGGAAAAAAACTAAACCTGCCATTTTAATACAAAGAACCAGGAAGGAAATCTGAAATTGTCAAATGCCCATAGCATTCTTTGAGGGAACTTCCTGATAACAAGAACATAAAATATGATTCAATTCTTGGTTAATTACATAAAGGATCATTTAGAAACTCATTTATTTTAAAAGTGCTTGGCATAGCGAATCCATTTAAAACTATGCACAAGAATAGGTCATTAAAAATGCAAACTGAAGAGAAGATTAATCAGGAAGATTAAATCCACCAGGCTTCTTTTTAAAAAAAAAAAAAATAACACATACTCTCAGCCTATCAGAATGCAGTTTGTTTCAATATAACATATTCAACAGGCAGATCTGTGATTTTCAAAACCCAAGATTTTAACTGCTCATATAAGCTCAAATACAGTCATAGCAAGTGATCCATTTTGTAACTGCACATTTTGCAAATGCCATTGTTCAGGAATCTTTGGAGCAGAAAAAATCAAACTACTGGAAGTAAACTGACCCTGCCAGATCCTGGAGCATTCACCCTCAGTTGGGATTCAGAGTCAAGTCTCCGTTTGCTTCCTTTAGTGTTGCATTTGCTTCCATGAAATTAAATCAGAGTTTGTGTCCGTTGTAGTGCTGCAGCGCAGTCCTCAACAGGTAGAAATCTGTATTGGGAAACCACTAGCAAAGCATAACCGCCCTGAAATCACTAACTGTAGGATTGCAGCGTTATTGGACATGGGGAAGGACTGCTGGAAAATGGAAATATACAGCCAAGAAAACAAGCAGTCTAAGCTTGCCATCTTCCTTGTACTGATCCTTCATCACACACTGTTGGACGCTGCTAGGAATACAGCTAGACAAATATTTGGTTTGGCCCACTGACTAAATTTTGACGGAGAGGACAGTTTCACCACGGCAGCCAAATGAAGGCAAAAGGATCTGCTGGACACTGCCAATCGAAGAGATACTTTAGAATCTGGAGCACAGATCTGCAATGTGGAAAGCACAGAGATAGTGGAAGGGAGGAGGAAGGATTGAGAGCAAATAACAGAGCCCTGAAACCACAGATATTACAGGTTTTTCACCCCAATTACTTTCAGCTTGCTGTCTGATCGGCTGTTACCCTCCATTCCAATCAGCATCTTACATGTAATTTGTGGAATACTTGAGATTTCTTTAGATCAGTGATGGCAGACATAAGATATTATTGAAGGAATTCAGCAATGTAAGATATTTCAGCTAACTATATTTCTTCCAGTTAACTCATCTTCCAATTAACTACATAATAGGGACTAATTTAAAGATTAAACTAGGCACCTACAGTTGTTCTAAGCAGAAAAACATCCGCTTCATCCAGGCTGCAGCGGATACAGTTTGCCCACACATCCCACTCTGGCTTCCAGTAAAACAGCAGCAGCAGAGCCCCGCAGGACAAGATGTATCCAGTGATGCACAAGGCCTTTCGGCAGCCTTGGGTTTTGTAGCCAAAAATCTCCTGTACAGCAAAGAGAAGGAACAAATCACTACTATTTCTCTTAAAGAAGCACTTGGAATAGAACACTTTCCCATCATCCACTGCTCTCCCATAAGTACTGTTTGCTATGGTACTGTGAAAAAAACAAGTATAGGACTTCTATTTGGCTTCTTTATGTGTCCTAAACATGACTAGAAAAAAATTTTGCATGTTTCACAGTTCTTATGCATCTTCACAAAATCTAGATTGCTGTACTCTGACTGAACCTCTAAAAGGTTTTATGTAGTTATGACATTCAGCATGAGACACTGTTAGGTGTGTGCAGGAGTTGGAATGATATTAAAATAGAGGGGCCCTAACATTTAGACCTCAAGTCAGCAGCACAGATTTGCCAGGTCAGCTTTTTTAAGTTCCGTGGGTGAGGCAGCTGAAGCACTGAAGTATGTCTGCACTAGGGGATGGAGAGCGATGCAGACTCACTGCAGCAGCTGAGACAGTGCCTCCTTCAGGATCCGGAGCACTTCTGCTGTGCTGCCATAGCAGCAAGTCAGCATTGATGTACCTATATTTCAGACTCAGTCAGTGTCTCTGCATGGTGCTGAATGACACTGTGTGGCTGCACAAGCTGGAGCCGTCTTGCAGAACAGACATAGCCTTTGTAGGGCTGTTACCATCTTCCACGATACCTCCAGTGTGGGGATTGAGGACCTTTACAATGTGTCATTGTCCTAAAGTCCCAAAATAGTTAGTAAGAACGACTAAGGAACACTTGTAGAATGTTTTACGTGTTCAGAGGGCCAAAGGAAGCGAATCACTGTAGCGTTATGAGTAGGTATTATTATACCATTTTTAAAGCTGGGGAAATTGTTACAGTGAGGCAAGGTGACTTGCCCAAAAATTCAAAGGGATGACTGTCAGCATAACAGTTTAGGAGCTGCTAAGTTTTGGTACTGTGGCCAAATTCTCTCTCAGCAGTACTAGCAGGGACTTGGTAAAGGCTAAATGAAATGTATACAGTAAATTTAAAGAGGAGACCCAGCCCTGATTTAAGATGGGAGATTGCATGGCTGCAATTACTTCATGTGACCAGGAGAATTTGCTAACACAAGGATTCAGATTCCTCAGACTCCTTCTTCCTACTGTATCTGTAGCAATTGTGCAATCTGCTTCTGGAGATGAGATATCTGCAACCACAGATATTGCAAGATCCATTCCTAAGGTGAGAAGAAAAGGCAACGTAATTGGAAGGTGAGTAATGTGTAATTCTTGGTTCTGTGCTGGTGTCTTTGTTTGTTATGCAAAACGCAGGCCCTACCCAGTGGTTCCACACGCTGCCCTGGCCTACCTGCTCTGTGTCATTCTCCAGAAAGCAGTCTCTATCTTCCTACATAATCTCCATGGGGTTTCTAAAGGGAATAAACTGGCAACTGTGGGAAAAAGTATGGTAAACTACACAAGGAAGGGGCCTGCATTGCACAGGACCTGGTTTTACGACCTTGAGGTGCACACGCTCAGCATTTTCAAAGTCTTCTATAATCTCTGAGCAGTCCAAGAGAGTAAAGCAACATTGCAGCAGAAGGTAGAAGGAAGTTCATGGGCAACAGCACAGAGGCAAGGTTGCTAGAAGGTAGCTGGTATGATAGTCATGTGCTATTAATATTCATATACTTTTATCAACAGGCAAAGGGTTCTCCATTCACCTCTGTGTAGTTGTATCCTTAACAAAAAGTTATAAAATTAGTGTGAGCACCAGCATTCAGGATAGTACATGGAATGATGCGAAATTATTGCTCACAGCAATGGCTTACTAGTGAGATCCAGATGCTTGGATCCAGACGTTACAGCCTGTCAGCAAGGCAAAGGAACTCCCATGGAGACAGAGATGCCTAAGGGAAGAACAGTTAAAAGAACATGCCTTCGGACTTCCTCCTGTAAATGGCTGGACCTGGAATAACTGGAATAATATTTTCAAATTGAGATGGGCATGAATATCAGGGTGGGGAAGAATGAGAGTGCTGCCATGCACATCTTGCTTCTACCAGTGAATCATTCCTTTAATTTACAGCTTTTGTGCTTTACACTCAAAGTCTGAGAAGTCACTAAGGCTGTAGTTAATGCAATTAAGAACGGAGGGGGTGGGCACTTGGCATGTGATTGACAGTCACTTGGGATCATCTTCTGTTGGTAATGTTCTTCTCCACTGATGTTCTGAATGATTCCCCAAGCCTGATATGACAACATAAACAGAGAGCTCGGGCAGATTCTGTCTTTCTCTGCCTAGGAAAACATGCACCCATATATCAAAATACATGTGGGTCACCAAACACCTGCGTATGTTTCTAGGCTTTTGTTTTCCAGAATAGTTTCCCCTCAAAAAAATGGTTTGATTCCTTAGATCTCAAGAAATTTCCTAAAACCAAGCAGGCATAAGTATTCCTCATCTTGAAAACAAGGAGAGGAAGACAAGTAAAACCTTTCAGCTGAAAAAAAACAAAAAAAGCCATGCCCTTAAGACATCTACTACACTGTTGGATCTTGCTGCTTCTCACAAGGGGCTTTCCTGAGATTGATAGGTAGATAGATTAGATAGAGAGACCTTGAACTGTTCTGACCCAGTGCACATTCTGCCCTATAAAGGGCAGGTTCAGGTTTATTGGTTTGTGTCTTGATTAATGTGACATTTCTAAACACAGTGTTCAGGAGCTCTGCAAGGAGTAAGTTGGGAAAGAGAGATGTTAACTTCTGGTTGGCATCTGAAAGTCCACGCAGGAATATAAAGCCAAAGCAAAGCATTTCCCATGGCTTGGAAATGCCTGGAGCAGGTCACCTGGGCCACATAATTCAGAAGTAAAGCTAGGCAGGGAAATAGACTGAGCTCCAAACCTAACTTGTGCCAAAAAATCTCCGAGCCAACACCTTTCAGTACTTCAGAATAAAATGTTCTCTTAAGTTGAGGTGTTTTTCCTGACCCTGTGCCATCAGCTGAAAGGACTATAGCAATGAATGCTGCATTAATTAAAAAAAAAAGTACATAAATAACTTTAAACAGAAACAGTATTAGTACTAATTCTTTCCATTTGTCCAGTAAACCAACAGTGGGATTCTTTAGAAGAATTCTCAAAATCATTATCTTCTCAAAAAAAAAAAAAGTGATTGTTAGACCCACAACAGAGGTATCCACAATGTGCATGAAGAAGTGGGGAACAGGCACACACATGATGCAAGTTTCTCAGCAGGTTTACCTAGCCAAGAGATTGCCTTACAGTTATTAGAGTTTGCAGATTCTTCAAGCTTATTCGGGACTCACTAGGCCTACACTGCAAAGACCTCCAAGCAAATGCATGTCCGCTATGGTAAATCACGTTTCCAAGGCTGGTAGAAATCCTGGTGTCACCAGTAAGAACACATCTGTTGGGCTGCTTGTATGTTGTTAAGGAAAAGAGGATAACTTCTGCTTGGCTGTATTTCATTGCAGTGTCAGTACTTCTTTTGAAGATAGATCTGACGAATACAAATTTGCACTTTGATGACTTTTCTACTGTGCGAGCAGGATCTTAGGGCTTAATGAGCGCATTTGGCCTATATAACACTACACAGTTAAATAACTTGGGTACTTCAGGGCACCAGACTAAGAGGTGGTGGAAACTAAGCTAAGATTAGCTATCTGTAATACTCCAAAGGGCTTCTCATTATCTCATAGAACATAGCATCGTCCACAAAAGAGGCTGATATGCAGGGCTTATCTTTGTAGAATATTTTTTAATAAATTGTAGTGTATTGTAAAACTTTGTTTCCTCATCGGTTAACTTCCCCTTTCTCTTGAAATTTCCAGCAGTCAGAAGAGTGACTATAACAAAATGGTTTAACTTGCAAGGGGAGGGTCTAGGGAGGGGCCATGGATTATTGGTCAGAAAAAGCTGCCAGACCTGCTCCGTTGGCAGAAAATGTGCTTCTTTCAGAAAAGGTTCTTAGCTGCTTTTGCAATAATACAGAGCCAGCACTCAAGGGCTTATCACTCAAGTGTCCGACAAGTCTTTGTTACCTGTATTTAAAAGAAAAATTGCTTATAACTACTAGGTCATCTGCACAGCAGAATTTAAATGCAAAAGTCAAACAAGTTCAGGCACCCTTTTCTTTGCTGAAAACAAAGTCTGTAACTACCAGCAATGACTCTAAACAGCAGCTGTGAACTATCACATTTCTGCAAACCCAACCACCAGGTACCCTATTAGGAACAGCCTGTTGCTATAACAACAGATAATAGGATTAGACTTGAAAGACTGGTTAAGATTCACAAGGAATTTAATAACTGAATCTGATTCTTACCAACTTGAACCTGTTTCATCAAAGGTTTGTTTCTGTTCCCTCTGAAGCCAGCAGCAACGTTCACTATCTTTCCATTAGGAACAAGGTTGTGCCTTTCAAATTCTATCTTAATTTTAAGAGTTAAATTTACATTTCAGGAATTCAACATGTATTCTAAGTTTTATCTGGGTACCAGGAGGGGGAACTCTTCTTTAAGCAAATGTGTTACAGCCACATAAAGTAATCCCAGAGATGTATACAAGGATCTACAGGGTAGTTTTCCTAAGTCAGAGTGATCATTCTTAAATATAGGACTATTTAGCATCTCAGATGTACCAAGGAATGGAAACACCAAAGAAAACTTGGAAGTATTTCTTCTCATTAGAGCTCCCCAACTTCTCTCAGCAAAATGGAAGAGCTAGTTCAACACGGGAAAGCACTGCATGTCCAAAGTACAACTGAGCTACTTGCATGCTATCAAAACTACTTGAACTATCACACTCTGTGCAATGAACTGACACCTGTGCAATGTCAGCTGTTACATTATTACACCAAGTGATGTGATCTTGTCTGAAGAGTCAGGAACTGCTTGTTAATAATTTGGTTCAGGTGCATTAAACTGACTTAAAAATAACATTGAAAATTATTTTTCATGGCTTATAATTTTTTAAAAAGTGTTGCAGGGTCACTGAGACGTTATGTGCCAAAGGCACTTGCTGTGGTTTTCCATAATTTAAAATATATGATTTTAACCAAGAATGTCTGCACATAATTCTCTTTTACCCCATGTACTCTCCTTCTCTCCTCTGCTTAAACACAGCCTTCTTTGTCCCTTTCTTCACAAATTGTCTTACCTACATATTACTTTTTCACACAAATACACATACTAGCTGTTCTCTTTCTAGACACACATTGGCTTTTTCCTCATCCTCTTAAAGTACCTCAGACATCCTCACAGGTATCTTCCTCTCTCTCGTACTTTATAACTTTTCTGTCTCTTACACATATATAACAAATACATGTACATACCTGCCAAATCTATCACAATTTGGCTATGGTTTTAGTTGCACCTACTTCCAGTACCTGAGGGGGGCCTACAGGAAAGAGGTGGAGGGACAGTTTACAAGGGTGTGTAGTGATAGGATGAGGGGCAATGGTTTTAAGCTAGAGCAGGGTAGATTTAGATTAGACATTAGGAAGAAGTTCTTTATCGTGAGGGTGGTGAAACACTGGCACAGGTTGCCCAGAGAAGTGCTGGAAGCCCCATCCCTGGAGATATTCAAGGTCAGGTTTGATGGAGCTCTGAGCAACCTGATCTAGTTCAAGATGACCTGCTCACTGCAGGGGGGTTGGACTAGGTGAACTTTAAAGGTCCCTTCCAGCCCAACACACTCTGTGATTCTACTCCTCAATTGCTTTACCTTTTATCTCTGATTATCAATGGGAAACCCCAGGTGAATGAGAACTGTTCATGTTCACTGCAGGCACGGAGAGCATGGCGATGGCCAGAGACCCTGGACTCAACACTGCGCACGCACCAGCTGTGCAGAGAAAACCTCAGATTCACGGGGCAGATCCCTGAGCACTGGACTCATGATACCAGTGAGAAGAACATTACTGGGGTAACTGGCTCCATGCAAGTACAACTTGGGTGTCTCAGTAGCGCACGGCTGGAATTGCACATGCAGGGTACAACAGCGAGGCTCTACACAGTGCTGGACAGTCCACTTAAACCTAATTAACTCCAGCTCAATTCTGGCATTGCTAGTGACAGTGCCAGTAGCGCAAAGAGAATGACAGTGTTTATAGTCCTAGAAGGACAGGGACAGGACGGAGCACCGACGCAAAACCAGCAGCCCTTTGGAACCGGGGAGCAGTGCAACATCAGCACCAGGGCTAGAGCCAGGAGTGGGCGCTGCTAGCGGGTTTAGGAACTCCGTGGCAGAGCCAGCTGGGTTCTGAATCGCACTAATTAGTCCCCACCCTCCGAGCCAGTGCCTTGTGCTTCCTCCAGTGCTCAGTTCACGCTGCTGGAAGACTACTGCATTCTCCAGAACATCCCAGATCACCCAGATCTGCATTACACAAAATATGACATCTCCTCTTCGCTGGACAGCAGAGAGCCGAGTGAAAATCTACATTTATATCTAGAGATAACAAATGTCAGTCTTTTTCCGTGATACAGTCTCTTTTTCACTAAAGTAGAATTCTCAGTGAGGAGATTTTGAAGAGTTCTCAAGAGTTCCTGGAAGTAAACAGTCACGTCAGTCCATAAGTGCCTGCATTTCACTAACTTTGCTGGGGCTGTTGTACACCCAGAAATCTCTCACACACTCAGAGCCACAGAGGCTCTGCAGTGCAGGAATTTTGAGAAGCACTGCATTTACCAGATATGCATGAGAACTGTTGCTGTACAGCTGCATCATGGGTCTGACATCTCCATCAGAATCTGTCAGATGGACAGAAGGCATATGTGACAACTAGTTGATCTGGAACATGCAGCAATGCCAAAGCAGCTAAGAACCACTGAATTTACTACAGTTGAGCACTGGGCTTACTATTTAAGAGAAATGCCATGCAGTAGATTGGGTATTTAATGTAAACATAGGACTTATTTCCACATGTTACAGAACGTACGTAGACATACTCCTCCCTTAGAAACTATCAAAAGAAACATGACAGCTCTGTGTTTAGAAATCCAGCTTTATACAGGTGCTCAGGCAGGAACAGGGTTGCCAATTCAAGAGACTGCATTTGCTATAAATTATGCAAACATAAGGTATGTGTTTCTACGTTCCAGAGAAAACCAAGGTTCCCAGTCTTCATCTAACTGGAGCTGACCCTAGAGATTCAGCTGTCAAATGGTTAGGAACACTGCTCTGGCTCATCCCTCAAGATCCTGTAAGACCACCTCCACAAAGATTTATAACGCCACATCAATAACCTGGCAAGCCATCCCCTGTTGGAGGGGATAACCCATTAAATCCAGTGGCCATATATAACTTTTTTTTTTTCTGCTAAAAAAAAAACATATCCCTTTCTACCTGTATCTTTCTGCTATGGGAACACCCCTACCATCCATAACTAAATTACAGACTGTAGCTTTTTAGTGCAGAACATGTGCCATCTGCTGCTTCAAGCTGAGAAAGACCAAGACAGATACAACTCACCATCTCATTTTCTTCTCCCTGGTTAAGCTGTGCATAATGGTTCTTGGCAGGATTTTCCCCCATGAAATGACCCTCTGGAGACTTTCTAGAGCACCCTCAGGACAGGTCTTCAGCGTTGTCTGCTTGAACTTCCACACTGAGGAAGTGCACACCTTCCTTATAACACACCTGCCTTATAACTGCTGATGTCTGAAGAATGGAGCTCCTCCCTCTCTGTGGGTTTAGCAGGTAACATCAATCCCTCCTCCCTTCACTCTCTTGTTGGAGTTTTGTGACTGTGAGGGGACATGCGAAATTCAGTCAAAGACACTAGAAGAAACTAAAAATTAGATCTCACAAGTGTTTGCCACAATATCACTCTGGGTCATAACTCTGACAGGTGTAAGTCAGTGCTGTTAGCGTGCAACTTTCAGGGGAGGGCAAAAGAGGAATATTTTTCTTTGAGAGATTACGGCATTACTGGAGTCCAGGAGTGTGTCTAAGTCTAAATGAGAAGGAAAATAGGCACTGCTGTTGCTAAATACTCCTAGCAATCAGCCTCAACTAAGTGTCCAGCTGTGATGCCCACATATGCCCTGGAGAAAAGTCCAGGCTCTGGCACTGCAAAAAAGGAACCCCTGTTTGTGCTCTGATCCTGTCTCAGGATCTAGCCACGTAGGATCTGTTACCAGTATTTTTATTCACTATTAAAAATATCCTCACAGAATGTCTTCTGACCACACCACACAGCTTTAGGAAACTACAAACTGGGGTTTCCCCACTGATGCCAGTAAACTGGATACAAATGTCACTAATCTCCAAATCAGGGCCAAAAGGAAGCTGGCAGAAAAACAGCTCTGAGAGGGGTTTTTCGTTACTGTTCAGATGTGTGTTTATTAGTCTTGTGATTCATTCTCATTCTCATTACTATTTCCTCGTCCTTTGCTACTTTTTAAGAAGTTACACACCAGATATTTTAGGAATGAGGTCAGAAGAGGCAAACCTGTTCTTCCAACAAATACATTAAGGAAACAAAAATATTATTTCTAGGATGACTGAAACAGATCAAGGGGCATTTTATTTCCATATGGCACAGACCTGTAAAGTTTCAAAAGGAACCCAGACTGGACAGGAAAGGATATAACTGTACCAACTTGTGTTACAGGTGATTTGCTGCAACAAGATCAAGAGGGAAAAAGGTGCTTTCCAGACCCCAGCTTCAGCGTTACCCCTTCCTCCCCCCGCCCCAAAACTCTGAGGCCAGCTTTGAGCCTCTCAAATTTTAATTTCATTTCTCTGAGATCCAGCAACCGGAACTCCAGTTATTACATAAGAATCACAATTTTCAATAAAAAATTAAAAAGAAATGCAGTAAACTGCATTTCTGATCAACTCAATTATACAGGAAAACTGAGAAGTGCTATCTAGAAGCTATGAAAGACATGAAACAACTGCACAAGTCCTTTTTCCAAGGCAGTTTGATGATTTCAGGAAATGACTCATCATTTTGGGAGGTGGCAGGAGTGGAAAACAGGATTGCCACACAGACTTTTTCTGCCTGGTCAGCTTTTGCTGCTACTGCAAAAGTCAACCTTGCTCTTTCTAGTGTCTGCAGAAGACTAGAGCGCAGTATGGGTCCTTGGCTGCTGGATGACTCTGACGGATCTCACATCTGAGAGATGAGCTGCATGCAGAGAATCCCACCAAACCTGAGTCTCCAGAGAAGAATCAAGGCTCATCCAATCTATTCACTATTCACAGGCTTAGCCCAGCTCCTATTGACAACTTCTGCTCCTACTGAACACCCTAATTATGGAGATTTATATCTTCATATCTTCATAACTGAAAAAAAAAGGAAAAACAGATTACAGGTGTAAAACATTTGTCATTTCCACAGCTTGGCAACCTGTCAAATATTCCAGAAAGAATCTGTTAATCCAGAACAACGAGGATGGTGGCATTCGTTTTCTTAAGCAGGTTCACGTTCCCCTGGAGAAAACACCTCTGAAGTAGCCTATATTGGAACCTTTAGTTATATAGTGCCCTCTACTGTTCAAAGTAAGAATTACACATTAGTTTAAAAAGTTCCTTGTCCCGTGTCCTGCAGTGTCGTTACTTTAAAACTGAAACTTGTTATTAAAACAGACATTACTAACAAAAATAACTTAAAATAAAAAAATAAAAGGTAATAATTAAAACATAGTCCCTTAAATTTATGAACAAACCAATCTAACAGCACGCAGGCCAGACACAAAAAAATCTCACCTCATGCCTAGAACTTTTATTTCAATCCTGAAAATACCTCCATGCATTATGTCATGCTTGCGCAACTTATTCTGCTTTGAAAAGTCCCACTGTATGCAAAGCAGCCTGACATTTAAAACACCCCAAATATCTTCTCCTGCTTAGCTCAGCACGATACCTAGTTCTGGGCATATCACAGAAAAGCAGCTGTGAACCAACTGGTGACAGTACACAGGACAGCACAGAGAATGAGAAAGGAGTCAGAAAACATGGTCTGCAAGGAAGAGGGACTTAGAGGTTGTTTAACCTAAAGAAAAGGAGGCTGAGAAGGAGTATGACAACAATTTCCAAACATGTAAATGCTGGTTGCATACAAGAAGAAATGAATGTTCTCCATCTCCACTGTGGGCAGAGTTAACTTGCTGCAAGAAAGATCCAAATCGAGCATGAGGGAACCCTTTCTGTTAATGCTAGTTAGCACTGGCACTGCCAAGTGAACCCTCCAACACCTGAGGTATTTATGGACAGGTTAGGTATGCACCTCTCAGAAGTGGCATAAATAAAACTGATTCTGTCTGAGGATCAGATCCGCTTAACTCTCCTGGTTCCTCCTCTGCTGCTTGCTTCCACCTTCTCCTGCCAGCAAATACCCCCAACAGCTCACACAGGCCCATCTGGACACGCCTTGGATTTTCCAGCTCTCGAGGCAGGATTGCCGCCCACTTCAGGCACCGCAACAGCCGGGACCCCATCTGGGGATCTTATTTAAGTGACCGGGACGACCCTGGGACAAGCGAGGTCTCCACTGGGGGCTGGGCCTCACTCCCCTCTTCAGCCCTGACGGCCGGG